CAATGAAACAAAACAAAAAGTCATTGGCTGGAAGCAAGACCTAAGATCTCCCATTCCACTGGGCTGACATAATTTTTCAAAAATGAAAAAATAAACATATGTCCATTTTTTTCTCCACTATGTAGCTTTGGTTGATCTGGAACTTGCTATGTAGACCATACTGACCTTGAACTTGAGGCACTCCTGCCTCTCCCTCCTGAGTGCTAGGATTATAGATAAGTGCCAGCATACCCAGCCTAGAGCACTGTTTTTTAAACTTGATTGACAATAATAATTCTAGAGAGGTTGGGAAAGAGGCTAGATAGACTCTGAAACCTGTTAACAGGGTAAAAATTCCAAATATTACCACAAAGAGAGGAAAGTATGAATGCCAGAGATGCTGTTTTTCCTCTTTAAAGAACTAGGTCAAAATGAATAGTAACCAAGGTCAACCCGAAGTTTAAAATGAGAGGTAAATCATAAATTCAGTTTTTATACTGGTCATGTAAGATTTGCTCCTATCTTATCTTCCCTATTTCTGTTTTGTCTTGTTTTGAGACAGGGTCTCACTATGAAGCCCAGGCTGATCTTGAATTCAAGATCTTCCTGCCTCTGCCTCCCAAATGCATGCTGGGAGCCACCATGTCCTGTCCAAAGGGAAGCCAGTGTCTCAGGCTGAGCCTCAATCACTGAGTACTGGTTAAGTTAGATTGCCTTGATGCTAGTCTTTAATTTTTTCCCCTCAGCGCTAGGAATGGAACCCAGGACCTCAAGCATGCTAGGCTAGGGCTCTACCCCTGAGCTATACCCCCAACCTGATTGGACTATTTTGTTAGACACTTTTTTTCTTTTTGAGACAGGGTCTTCATGTATCACACACTGGCTTTGAATTTACTACATAGCCAGTATTACCAACATGACCTTGAGCTTCTGATGCTCCTGCCTTTCTTCTCCCTCCACGTGTTGAGACTAAGGGTGTATGTCATCATGCCTGGATTATATGGTGCTAGAGATCAAACTCATGTCTTCATGCATGCTAGGCAATCACTCTACCAACTGAACTAGGCTCTTAGATTCTAGACCTCTTAAAATGACAAAGAACTGGCAAATCTATGATGTGGTAAGAAAAACCTAAATCCTATAGGGAACACAAAGCAATATAAACAGTTGCTTTCCCCACGACTGCTTCAGATTTATTTATTTATTTATTTATTTATTTATTCATTGTCCTTTTGAAACAGGGTCTCCTTGTAGTCCAAGCTATCCTGAAACTCCATATGGAGACCTTGTAGTCCAAGCTGTCCTGCAACTCCATATGGAGACCAGGTTGACCTCCATCTAACAGAGATCCCCCTGCCTCTGACTCCTGAGTGCTGGGATTAAAGGTGTGCACCACCATGCCCAGCTTACTTCAGCATATTTAAAGTACCTTTATTGAGTATGGGGGAAAAGAGATGATTAAGACATTGTCTCCACTCTTAGTTTCTTGATAAGTGAAAATAGCAGTCATATAAATATCTAGCTAAATTGTAAAGCAGAATGAAATTAGCACTGGTGGGCTAAGTAACAGGTATAAGAAAGATGGGGAAGACCAGGGAGATTTGTGTAATATTGAACTGTGAAGCAGTATCTGGCAGCATAGGAACAAGTATCCAGTGGAGAAATAGAGGGATTTAACCCAAGAAGTTGGGGCTGGAGAGATAGCTCAGTGGTTAAGAACACTGGCTGTTCTTGCAGAAGACCTGGGTTTGAATCCCAGCACCCACATGGCAGCTAACAATTGTCTATAACACCAGTTCTAGGGGATCCGACAGCCTCTTTTGTCCTCTGTGGGTATTACACGACATGGGTGCACTTACCTACACACAGGCAATACCCAGATACACATAAAAATAATAAATAAAAAAATTTAAACCCAAGAACTTAAGAGAACTGCTTTTGTTTTATTTTGTTTATGAGACAAGATCTCCCTATGTAGCTGTAACTAGCCTGGAACTCTCTACATAGATCGTGCTGGCCTTCAACTCACGGAGAACCACCTGATTTTTTTTTTAAACATAATCTCCCTGTGGAGGATAACCCTGGGCTATGTATAGTCCAGGCTGACTTTGAACTTACAGTCCTGACTCATCCTCCAGAGTTCTGGACTTATAGGCAAGCATACCATACCTGGCCAGAGAACAGAATTCCTGGGAGGTATCAGGATTCCTGAAAGATTTTTGGTGGATAAGGGCCTTGCATTTGGGCAATTTGTTACATAATTTGCTTCTCTGACCCTGGCTCTTCTGCCTACTGATTTCCTTTTCCTTCATCCCTGGCATCTGGCTCAGAGCTCTCTCCTCCTTTGATTTCATGTCTTCTGCTTCTCTTAAAGACTGAGTCTCTAGGGATCTTCACTGGTTTTGGAGTTCAGTATGTATGGGCAGGGCCACAGCAAGGTCCCCTCATCTCACTGCTGTCCATCATTCCTTATAGTGAAATTCAGAAATACCTCAAGCTATCTAACTTTTCCTCTTCTGGGTTAGACAACTCCGTTGCTGACCTGCCAGTCTCTACCTGCAACCCTATAGGTACTTTATAAACATTGTTTATGCTCATGGACTTACTCCTTAAACAATTAAATGGATTTGAAAGCTATTTAACACCTTCTCTTCTTGTGTGTGCAAGGGACTATATCATGAAGAATGGCTCTTGGGGAATAGGGAGTCCTCTGAATCTTTTTTTTAAATTTTATTTATTTTTAAAATAATTTATTCATTACTTCTATTTTATGTGTATGACTGTATTGCCTGCCTGTAAGTGAGTGCACCCATGTCATGCAATGCCGTGGAGGTCAGAAAAGGGCTTCAGATTCCCCTGGAACTGGAGTTAAGGATGGTTCGTAGCCGTCATGTGGGTGCTGGGAATCGAACCCGGGCCCTCTGCAAGAGCAGTCAGTGCTCTTAACCACTGAGCCATCTCTCCAGCCCTTATTATTTATTTATTTTATGTGTATGTGTGTAGTGCCTGCATGTAGCTAAGTGCACCTATGTGGTGGAGGTCAGAAGGGGCTGCTGGATCCTCTGGGACTGGAGTTACAGACAGTTGTTAGCTGCCATATGGGTGCTGGGATTCAAACCCAGGTCTTCTGCAAGAACAACCAGGGTTCTTACCCACTGAGCCATCTCTCCAGCCCCTCTCTGAATCTTTTTGTACATTATTCTTTCTTTCCCCGTTCCCAAGAAGCAAAGATAAGCCCCAGTCTTTATGGGGCAGGGTCTTCCTGTAGCCCTAGCTGGCCTGGAACTCATCATGTAGACCAGGTTGGTGATTTCCATCTCACAGAGATCTGCCTGCCTCTGCCTCCCAATGCTGGGATTAAAGGTGTGGGCCTGGCTGAGCCCATTTTATAGGGGTCAAATCTACTTCCTGAATCTAGAAAAAAGGGTACATCCTGAGACCAGAGGTTGTGCAATGTACCTACAACACCATTTCTTGGGAGCAAGCTGGGATATCACATATTTGATTTTTTTTGGGGGGGGTGCTTATTTGTGGCAAGCTCTCACTATGTTACCTAGGTTGGTCTCAGTCTCCTAGGCTCAAGTATCATCCTCCCTCAGCCTCTCAAAGAGCTATGGCTACAGTCAGGTGGCACAACATGGGATGCCACATATTCGGGTGACAGTCTTTTGGCCAAATCTATTGATCATCCAGTGCTACATTGCTAGCTCCCGCGCTCATTATCCTTCTCCCAACACGTGCTCCATAGGCAGGAGCTGTTACTATGGAAATGTATTATTTTTAAAATCAGACTCAGGCCTGGACTCGGGAAATATCTCGAGAACAAACCCACGCAAGCAAGGAGGTTAATAAGGGATGTTTCCGAGTCCTAGCTCCAAAGGGAAGGAGAATGATGGTAGCGTTCTATGTTCTATTCTCAACCTTTACCAGGTTCAAATTCTTTTTATCTCTGTTAATACCAGATGGACTTTTGCCAGGCACCCCTACCTAGGAGGGATGTCTTCCCCTGAACGCGAAGCTGGAAGATGCTGAGCCAGGGAGAAGTGGGTGGTGATTTCCAGTGGGACCAACTCGTTCTTAACCCCACAGGCGGCCAACCTGTACAAATCTAGAGGAAAACAGAGGCCGCATCGCAGATAAGTGAAGTTCCTTTGCCCAGAGCGGGGCTGAGGGGATGTACCCGGACTGCAGGATGGGGCGGGGCGGTTAAAGACTCCGCCTGTTTTCACCCTGGAACCACCAGCGTGTGCTGCTCGCTCTCCCGCCCTCCCGGAGCTCCGGCGCCAGGCTGGCTTGGCCCCGCCCGCTGCGGGTGCGGCTCCTTTAAGGGTGGGTGGGGGCGGGGCGCCGGTGGTGTTGTCAGTGTCAGTTCTGCGCTCGCTGCCCTCCTGGAGCCGGTGCCGGCCCGCGAGCCCCGGCGTCTCTGCAGACCGGTCCCGGCCGGGGTTCCTCCGGGCCCCGCCGTGGGAGGAGTCGGGTTGCTGGCTGGCGACTAGCTGGGGTCGCCACTGGACCCAGCGACCAAGATCCCGGGCCGCGAAGCAGAGCCGGGCGTCGCGACCCCGGAGGATCTCTTCTCGACCTGTGGCACCCACTAGTCCCGGAAACTCAACGCCGGCGAGCCCCGGAGCCCGCGCGCCCAGCCCCGGGGGAGCTCGCCCACGCCCCGCGGCCCAACCGGGCCATGCTCCCCCGGGGCAGCGGCTGAGCCAGAGCCGAGACCCGGATCAGAGCCCGCGCGGAGCATGGATCCGGGCTGGGGGCAGCGGGACGTGAGCTGGGCGGCCCTGCTGGTCCTCTTCGCCGCCTCGCTGCTCACCGTGTTGGGCTGGCTGCTGCAGTACGCCCGGGGTTTGTGGCTGGCGCGGGCCCGTGGGGGCCGGGGCTCCGGACCGGCTTTAGCCTCGGAGCACGGTGGTTCGCTCCGCGAGCTGAGCGTGTGGCGTTCGCTGCTGCGTCTGCGGGCGACTCGGGCCGGCGCCCCCCCGGAACCCGGCGTCCGGGGCCTCCTGGCTTCGCTCTTTGCCTTCAAGTCTTTCCGGGAGAACTGGCAGTGGGCTTGGGTGCGAGCCCTGAACGAGCAGGCCTGCAGGGACGGAGTGAGTTGCTCGGAGCCCCCTGTGTGGTCCCTTCAGCTTTTCCTTCGAGTTAGTAGGACTGGGTTGGGGCTGAAGATCAACGGGAGAACCCCATGGCTTTTCTTTTTCTTCCAGATCAGAGAAAAGGGTGCAGGTGAGGCTGAGGGTTGTAGAAATCCAGTTATATACCAAATTTTCTATTTTTACGGGCAAGGGACTCTGGTTCCAAGCCCATGTACAAGTTACTGTTCTCATAGCAACGCTAATCCCTGTGCCTGAGGGCACTTCCGCCTCGACTGAGACAGGTTGGGCCAAGAGAGACAGGTGCACCTGCAGAAGGAATTTGCCTGGTCCTCATGCCACCACACCCAGTTAACAGTTCAGGCTCCAAAACCCTGGTGGTCAGGCAGATGCCCCAAAGTACCTGAATCATCCCCTACCTATCAGTAATTCCTCTACTACAGCCAAACACGTCCTTTTCCTCCATGCCAGTCAGCAGTGTAGTAGTGTAGGGGGTTGGAGTTCAGTTAAAGGGCATATTGATAATCCATGTCCTTTCTAGTAAATGAACTTGGAGCTGCCTCTTCAGGGTCAGTCATAAACCAGCTTAGCCTACCTCCTCCCATTGCACCATGGGCATCTGGCCTCCCAGGAAGTGGGAGACAGAGGTCTCTTCTCTGGGCTGAAACTCTTCCTGGACCAGCAACCACTCCTTGCCCTCTATCAAATACCTTGATTAGAGGTTTCTTTTTTTCCAGCTACTAAGAGCTGGGAGGCCCTGCCCTATTAATTCACAAGCCTGGAAACAGAAGTGGCCACAAGAAGTTGCTCTGTTTCCTCTTCTCAGCTGACCAGCTGAAAGCCAGATGATATCTGTCAGTTTATACATTGAACCCACCCCTCCACCTAGCTCTTCCTGGACCTTGTCCCTGGGTCAAAAGCAATTCCCTGGGACAGCTGACTCAGCTGGACATTGGTCTCCCTTGCAGGGGGAGGGGAGATTGAGGTTCTAAGCATCTATCTCCCTATGCCCCTTGACCCAACTTGAAAAAGACAGCTAGCTACTAGAGCATGGAAATGGGCTTCCCCTGGTTTTCCAGGGAAAGTGAGTCAGCCCTTCATCTCAAGACCTGAGGAAGAGTGGCCAGCTCAGACTGCCCCTTCCTCAGTCCTTCCAGCCTGCTCTCCACAGCTGTGCAAGAATTAGGGAGTGGCTTTTTGAGAGCTAAGCTAAGCAGCTTTCTGCTCCCTAATACCATCCTGCTGTCTGCACTGAGGAGTTAACCAGGCATGGGACCCTTGAGCTCTCCCTCCAGGCTCAGCTTTAGTTCCCTAAAGCTATGCTGAGCTAGTCTTTGTTTCCAAGAATTTAGAAGACTCCTACTCTTGACCCTTCACATCCTATTTGTCTGTAAAAAGGCTTAGCCTCATTTTTCCAGCTTATTTTACAATGAGTGACCTAACTGTTCTTACCCTTAGCTTAGCCCTGCCCAGCTAATAGGTATGGATAGCAATGAGCCATGTTGACTTTTTTTCTCTGTAGGCCTTTCTTTGGGACTGGGGTGAAATGTTAGGTGGAGGGGAGAAGAGGAAGATGGGGAGAATATGGAGGGTCCTGGGATTCTAAAAGATACCCAAAGTCTTTAGTCAAAGGCAGTCTTCCCTCTGAGGTAGTCTAGTTCCCAGGGTCTCAGTGATCCCTAGTAGCTACAGGTCCCTAGAGAAGTAGGGCTTGATTTTCTGTCCTAATGTCCTGAGCCAAGGAGGAACCAGAAGCCAGCCTGTAGCTGAGGCCTCCCCTAGTGGCAGGACCTAGCCAGCAACTGAGCAGGCTAGCCCTGCAGGGGAAAGCTCCAGAGACCTGATCTTATGCCCACATTACTCCCTCAGAGCTCCATCCAGATCGCCTTTGAGGAGGTGCCCCAACTCCCACACAGAGCCAGCATTAATCATGTGACCTGCGTAGACCAATCAGAGCGTACCATGGTAAGAGTCTGATGGGCTCTATGCTCTCTGGGACCTGAAGGGGGCTGACCTTATGGTTCCCTTTAGTCTAAGGATTCTTAACCTAGAGTCTGTGTACCTTAGGGATCTAAGAATTGGCTTTAGGAGATCTGCAAATCTCACTGAAGTGATGGGCAAAATGGTGTGTGTGTCTGTCTGCATTTGAGGGAGAAGAGTCTTTGGCATCTATCTAATTCATTGAAAGGGTTAGGGTCCCCAAAAGGTGGAATCTCAAGGAAAACAGACGTGAGGAAGGGTCTGTTGAATCATCATAGGGCAGGGCAAAGCAGGGTGGGTACCCTCCTCCATGCCTGACCCTGCCTCCCCGTCTCAGGTGCTGCACTGCCAGCTGTCTGCTGAGGAGGTGCGCTTCCCTGTCTCTGTGACCCAGCAGTCCCCCGCTGCCGTTTCCATGGAGACCTACCACATCACTCTCACACTGCCACCAACACAGGTGGAGGGAACCTGGGAAACTGAGTTGGGCAGGGGGCAGTTGAGTTGGCCCAGAATCTTCCCCTTGTCCCTCTCTGGGATGGAATTTGAGAAGAAAGGGTCCTGAAGAGTTAGCACTGTGTTGTTGGAGTAGTGGGGTAGGTCAGTACAATACTTTTGTTCCTGTCTTTAGTTGGAAGTCAGCCTGGAGGAAATTCCTGATGAGGGGCTGCTGGTGTCTTGGGCCTTCACAGACCGCCCCGATCTCAGCCTAACGGTGCTTCCCAAGCTGCAGACCAGGGAGGTAAGGAGGGAGCAGGCAGAGAAAAGACTGAACTGGGAAAGGAGCAGAGCAGGGGCTCCAACTCTTCTTCTCTCTGCAGAGAGATGAGGAACAAGTAGAACTTTTGACAGTTGAGGAACTGATCAAGGATGCCATAGTCAGCACCCAGCCAGCCATGATGGTAAACCTCAGGGCCTGCTCTGCTCCAGGAGGCCCGGTGAGTAGGCACCCAAAGCAAAAGGTTTGCATGGACCCCATTTCCAGGATACTATTATCAGGATTACTACTTTTCTTTTACCTCCTTCTGATCTTAGGTACCCAGTGAGAAGCCACCCAATGTGCCCCAGGCCCAGCCATCAATCCCCCGACCTACTCGATTATTCTTAAGGCAGCTTCGAGCATCTCACCTGGGAAGTGAGCTGGGAGGTAAGAACTACATTAAGGTGATGGGGACTGCCATTTCTATAGCTGCAGGCAGTTCCTTCCTCCTCTGCCTCTGTTCCTCAGTGGCTTTACTGTGTTTGACTTGAGGATCCTCTAACTTCTTGTTCCTTTTACAGGTACTGAGGAACTATGCTGTGTTGCTGAGCTCGATAACCCCATGCAACAGAAATGGACCAAACCCATGAGGGCTGGTCCTGAGGTGGAATGGACGGAGGACCTGGCACTGTAAGGCATGACCCCACTCTCTGTTCCCAAGGGCAGTCAGGATGAAGAATCCCTTCTAGGCTAGTTCTGGTACAAGTCAGCCTTGCTTTTGAGTAGCCTTTGATGTGAGTCTCTATTATATGCCAGGCCTTGACAACTATGTCCAGGGGGTTATAGACAAGGCCAAGATCACCTCCCACCCCTGGATTGATCACAGACCTGAGACAGAGACAGATGTGTCTATAGACGACAGGTTCACACACAATATGCCATGGTAATGTTTAGCTAGGGGATATTAGCTCTTATAATGGAATAAAGATCTGATGAGGCTTCATGGAAAAGCTGGCACTTCCATCAAGAGTAGAATTGTACCAGAATGCTAAAGTCCTCTTGGTAGAGGGAACAGCTTTGGAAACTGAAAGTGGGCAGCTACAGATTGAGAGAGACACTAGGTAGAACAGGGGTGGGAATTTGAATATCTGATTGAAGAAAGTGGTCTTCACACATGCCCTGCTCTGTTCTCTTGAGAAGAGGGAGGATTTGGAGGTCAGGATAATCTGATTGGGGTCCTGGTGCCATCTTATTTATACATCTCTTTGCTTCTGGCCAGCAGCTGACTCAAAGTTGGGTTCACTTTGCTAAGCTTCCTCATCCCTTACCTATCCATCTTCTCTTGGCCTGTAGGGATCTGGGCCCCCAGAGCCGAGAGCTGACCCTCAAAGTGCTCAGGAGCAGCACCTGTGGAGACAGTGAGTGTGGGGCAGGAGGGCACTTCTGGGTGGATGCTGAGCAGGGCCTGGTCAGGGGCCCAGTTCATAGGCCATCCTTGTTTCCAGCCGAACTCCTTGGCCAAGCCACACTACCTGTGGGCTCACCCTCTAGACCACTGTCACGAAGACAGGTATGCCCACTAACTCCAGGGCCAGGGAAAGTCCTGAGCCCAGCAGCCACCATGACAGCAGAGGTGAGAAGGTGACCAGCGGGGGGAGATGGGTAGACATAGGCTGGGCAGTCTCTGAGGTCCTGACCCTTTGCTCTCCAAACCTTGGCAGCTGCACTATGAGCAAGGCTCTCCTCGGAATCTCGGTACACCCACTTCCTCCACCCCACGCCCTAGCATCACACCTACCAAGAAGATTGAGTTGGACCGGACCATCATGCCTGATGGTACCATTGTCACCACTGTCACCACCGTCCAGTCCCGGCCCCGTGTAGATGGAAAATTAGGTAAAGAAGAGGAGCCTGGAGCCCAGTTCTATGCAGGGTCCTAAACAATAGCACTTTGCCTGACGGGGAAGGGGGAAGGAAAGCCTAATGCCTGCCCTCCTTGTTTCCTGACGTTCCACTCTAATCCAACTACTTCTTCCTCATCTTTGTCTCTATCAAACTTTTCCTTGCACCTCTCCATTTCATCAGTCATTCCTCTCACCTTTCCATCCTTCTGATTCTACCAGCCTCTCCTATAAAACTCTTGCTCTTTTACTTGTCCAAGTTCTCTTCTATCTTTTCACGGATCTCTTTCCTTCCTTGTATCCAGCCCCAACTGGTAATTGTCCCACTTCTACCCTTAACCCTGCAGTGTTCTGTGGGGTCTTCTAGCAAACCCAGTGTGGCAGTGTCCTATCTCCAGTGGCCCTCTATCATACATGACCCATTTCAGAGGTCCCATGGCAATTCTCCTACCTCCAGGGACCCCTGTACATTTTCCATATATGTTTGGTATCCCCCCACACCCTCAAATGGGGCCCTGTGGAATGTTTACACACTGCCATTGGTTCCTGTGGTATCTTTTCATTTACGCAGCATTCTTTTTTTTTTTTTTTAATTTTATGTGTATGCATGCATTGTCTGCCTGTATGAAAGCATAACCCTGTCATGCAATGCCTGTGGAGGACAGACGAGACTGTCAGATCCCCTAGAACAGGAGTGACAGACAGTTGTTAGCTTCCATGTGGATGCTGGGATTTGAACTCGGGTCTTCTGCAAGAACATTCAGTGTTCTTATCCACTGAGCCATCTCTCCAGCCCCATGCAGCATTCTTTTAATCATCCTTGTGATTAATCCCCTGTAATCATTCTTGTCCTCTGAGTCAACCAAAGTCTGCATCTCAATAAAGATAGTAGGGGTGGGGACCATTCTAAAGCACCTCCCAGCTCATTGACCCTCCCCCACCCACCAGACTCCCCCTCCCGCTCCCCGTCCAAGGTGGAGGTGACTGAGAAGATGACAACTGTTCTGAGTGAGAGCAGCGGCCCCAGCAATACCTCCCACAGCAGCAGCCGTGAGTGGGGAAGGGGGATGTGTGAGCATTGGTGCCCCCGGTATCCTGCAGTCAAGAACTACTTTGGGTGGTTCAGGAGGAGTTTGAATCCAAGAAGGATCCAGGCAGAAGTCAAATTATTCATCCTCTTACCCCCAGCAGGAGAGAGCCACCTTTCCAATGGCTTGGACCCAGTAGCAGAGACAGCAATTCGCCAGCTGACTGAGCCTAGTGGGCGGGCAGCCAAGAAGACACCCACCAAGCGCAGCACTCTCATCATCTCTGGTGTTTCCAAGGTAGCAGAGCTCTGGCGAGAGCTGGGATAGAGAGAAAACCCTAATGGGTCACTCTTGCTCATTAAAACCTCTTTCCTGCCAGGTGCCCATTGCTCAGGACGAGTTGGCACTCTCCTTGGGCTATGCGGCATCCCTGGATGCCTCAATGCAAGATAATGCAGGAACCAGCGGAGGAGGTCCTTCTTCGCCTCCCTCAGACCCACCAGCCACATCCCCAGCACCTCTGGATGCCCTCTCCAGTCCCACAAGTGTCCAGGAAGCAGATGAGACGACACGTTCAGACATTTCTGAGAGGCCATCTGTGGATGATGTTGAGTCAGAAACAGGGTCTACTGGTGCCCTGGAGACCCGAAGCCTCAAGGATCACAAAGGTGGGGAGTTATTGGCAGAACATCCCCTCATTGGTTTTTTGGGGAGAGGGTGGAGACTAAGACAGGATCTGGCCTGGAAATTGTCATGTAGCCCGTGCTGACTGGAGCAATTCTCCTGCCTCAGTTTCCAAAGTGCTACGATTGTAAGCATGAACTACCACACTTATCCATCTACTGCTTCTTTTATACCCAGTATTGGGATCTGAGTCCTACTAGACACCTGGGTACCTGGTAGGCTCAGCTAACTTGCTGTCAAGGGTCAGCGAGCTCCAGTAGAGAGGGGAACTTGGTGTTCTTGACCTGAATATGACAGACTATAGAGTTCCAGCAAGGAGACCATATTAGTTCTTCCTGAGCCAAAGGGCCCGTTTTTTCCCACTCTTTTTGTTGTTGTTTGCTTGTTTGAAGACAGGGTCTCATGTAGTCCAGGCTGGCCTTAAACTTGCTATATACCCAAAGTTGACCTTGAACTTCTGATCTTCCTACCTTTACCTCTCAAGTGCTAGGATTATAGATAAGTGCCAACATGCCCAGACTATTTATTTATTTATTTATTTATTTATTTATTTATTTATATTTATTTTGTGTGTATGTGTGCCCGTGTATGTGGAAGTCAGAGGACAACTTGCAGGAATTGGTTCTGTCCTTCCACATTATGGATTCTAAGAATCAAACTCATGTTTGCCATGCTTGGATCTTGTTTTGTTTTGAGGCAGAGTCTCATGCTATAGCCCAGGTTGGCTTGGAACTCACTGGCCTGGTTTTCTGTTTGTTTTTCCCTTTTACTCCTCTTTCACTCTGTACCCCAGTTTCATAACTATAAAAAAATCCTACTCCAGGCCATTTTTAAGATAGTTCCTCTGAGCCATGCATGGTAGGGACATATCTGTAATCCCAGCACTTGGGAGGCTAAGGCAGGAGAATTATGATTTCATATACAGGCTATATATTGAGACTATCAAAGAAGGAAGGAAGAAATATAAGAAGGAAGGAAATTATTGTTCTTTCCTCTGGTGGTGACACAGGTTATAAACAGCTGGGGCAGTTCTAATTTCAAAGGACTAAGAGCTCGCCTCTGTACATTTTCATTCTTTGGTCAATGAGCCTGTCACCTGTGAATCTATTTATGATTTTAAAGCTGATATGGAAGTGTACAGCTATAATCCAAACACTTGATAGGCTCTGCCAATAGGAAAGTTGTGAATTTAAGACCAGCCTAGACTACAAATGGAAACTCGTGTCTTTTAAAAAACAACAACAAACAAGCAAACAAAAAAGATTTAAGTATGACTTCTTGGCATAATAGAATTCCTAAATCCAAAGCCTGCTGTGTAAGCACCTTCTTTCTTCTTATAACCCCACATTTACTTCTTTGAAGTTTCCAGGCTCACCACTTCCTGTTCACACCCTGGAATGCAGTAAACAAAATATGTCAGGTCATCTTTGCCTTTATGATTTATAGGCTTTGGGGAATACCCTCTGTGCAGCCTTTGTCTTCTGTAGGAAAGAGGCTCATTCCAATACTGTCCTCTCAGAGCAGCAGACCTTACCCATGTTACTCCTCTTTGGGGCAGAATCAGAGGTGCACACAGATCCATTCCCACAGCATACTATTCCTTCCTCAGGATGGGTGAAGCTCATGTTTGGGTCCATTTTGTTTCCTGGGAAAATCTGGCAAGGAGACTTGCTCACATTCTTCATCTTCTGTCCCTCCATCCTGAGTTCTTTTTCTGTCCCCTCACTCCTGTGCCCCTCCATCTGCCTCAGCTTCCCTCTTCCCCACAGTGAGTTTCCTGCGAAGTGGCACTAAGCTTATTTTCCGCCGGAGGCCTCGACAGAAGGAAGCTGGTCTGAGCCAATCACACGATGACCTCTCCAACACGACAGCCACACCTAGTGTCCGCAAGAAGGCTGGCAGCTTTTCTCGTCGCCTTATCAAGCGTTTTTCCTTCAAATCCAAACCCAAGGCCAATGGCAACCCCAGCCCCCAGCTCTGAGGGCCCACCTCACCTCCTGAACTAGGAGAGGGCAAGAGTTCTCTCAGCCCATTCCCCACATCCCCTTCTGTACCTCTTCCTGGATTCCCAGTGCTAGGACCAGGAAAGCCCTGGGGTTCTAGGAAGCCCCATCCACCCTGGGCTGTGGGGCAGTTTGGAAGGGTGTTTGCAGTGGGAAGTATTTGAGAGATGGACACTTGTTGCTGTAGACATAGAAGAGGGTGTTGGTGGCTGAGAGCAGGGGGCAGGCTCTGTCTTGTGTGTGCGGACATTCCTCAGAAGTGTTTGCCTTCTGCTAACACTGGCCCAGAGTGGAGTCCCAGGGACCTCATATCCTCAGCAGATCCTTCCTCCCTTATTTATTCTCTTTTCTATTTATATGTGTGGTCTAGGACCCTTGGCAAACAGATGACAGAGGGCGTTTCTCCCAGGTGACCCTTCTTTTCTGTCCAAGAGGGTAGGCAAGTCCCAGGAAGGGACACCTCCCTCAGGTCTCCACTCAGACCAGTACCAGTGTCTTCCTCTGAGGACACTGGCAGCTCATAGGAAGCCGGGCTAGTGCCCAGGATGGGGGGCAGGTACTCCCCACCTCCCTGCCTCTCCCAGTGCTCCTCATCTCTCCCTCCCCCTTTATTACCATTTTTTACTTGATGCCTTCTCCATGAGCAGTGGCTCAGTTGGAAGGAGGGAGCTAGGAAGCTGGTGGGAAGTCTTCCCTAGACAAATAGCTGTAGGAGCTTTAAAAGACTGTATGATGATAGAGCAGGAGTAAAGTTGTACCTCTGAATGTTGGGGGATGATGATGTCCATTGCTGTGTGATGGCTTGGAATTTAATTTATTAAAGTCAAATTGGAATTTATAAACTGGACCACTGGTTATCCTTTGAAAAGAAAACAGGCAGCAAGGCTGTGGTGTTGATAGAATGGGTGGATCAGAGACAGGGACCCAGGTAGTGAGGTAGGACATGTAGAGAAGGTTAAGAAACAATAGTCTCTCTAAAAGGTTAAGGTTACAGTAGAAAAGCTAATCAGCTAGTTCATGTGTCTTCATCCCCCTTTCTCAAATAGGCTGCTCTTCCTATGATACAACAAGGTTCAGAGAACAGACTCTGGTATTATCGTTATTGATTACCTTTGTGACCTTGGACAAGTTATATAAACTCTAGGTATGAGATGGGGACTGTGGGCTGGGGACATAGCTCAGAGGTAGAGCACTGTCCTAGCATGCCAAGACCCTGATCCCTAGCACCAGGGGCCAGGCATGGTGGTGCACGCCTTTAATCCCATCACTCAGGAGGCAGAGGCAGGTGGATCTCTGTGAGCTTGAGGCCAGCCTGGTCTACATAGTGAGTTCTAGGCCAGCTGGGGCTACAGGGAAACACTGTCTCAAAAAGACCAAAAAAAGGTGGGGGGGAGTGGGGAGAGGACTGAGAGAATAGCAACTATCATTCTGTTGTGGGTGAGAAGTAAATGACTACCTAAAACTGCTGTGTTTAGTCAGTGCCAAGTGTTAACTGTTGCCTCAGAAGAGACTTGGTAAAATCTTGTGACAACACAAAAGTCATTTATTCTTCAATATGGGCAAGTTTTAGGGACCTGGAGATAATAGCAAACTTTAAGTCTCTAGTTTCTGTCCTTTAGACTGTCACATAGAACTTGAACCAGGTATACTGCTCTAGAATGGTGGGCAGAATGCAGGACCAATAGGCAGGGAAACTGGGTCTGCCACAGACATATCTCTTGATATAGACCAAGCCACTTCTCCTTTCTGGATCTCAACTTTCTTAACTTCCTCCACTCTAAAATAAGAGTGGCCTTGGATAGTCCAGTAACTTCCAGCCTCGACAGTATATAACTTACCTGGGCTTGTGCATGTGGGTAGATAGCATAGATCTTTTTGTCTTCGGAGCCAGAGTCTTGTGTAGCCCAGGCTGGCCTTGAGTTTCTGAATGCTGAGATTACAGGTGTGTGCCATCATCTATCATACTTAATAGTTACTTTGTGTGTGTGTGTGTGTGTGTGTGTGTCTGTGTGCACGCACGCGCATTAACTGAGATAGAACGTAGGGTCTCACACATGCTAGGCAAGCACTCTACCACTGAGTTATATCCCAATCCTTTTCTAAACTTTTATTTTTGAGACAGTGTCTCACTAAGTTACCCAGGCTAGCCTTGAACTTTGTAGCCCAAACTGGCCTTGGATTTATGATCCTCCTGCCTCAGCCTCTATAGTAACTGGGATTACAGGCTTGTGCCACCAGTCCTGGCTAGAATTGTTAATGTTCCCCATGCTCCTGTCCATACTTGTCACAGAATATAGGATATTTAGAAAAGCAACAGAGTTTTAATATTTGGCCTGGTATTACATAATAAAATGCTCTACTCTAGGTTATGAAAACTCAGATTTTTCAAGCTCTTCCTCTTAACATAAAAATTTCAGCTTGGTGGTTCACAGAGTAGCAGTTTGTTTTCCACAATCACAAGATAGGCAAGCATACTGAATTTGTGACTTCTTTGAAAAGATTAAAAAGCTGGGCATGGTGGTGTACGCCTTTAATCCCAGCACTCAGGAGGCAGAGGCAGGCGGATCTCTGAGTTCCAGGCCAGCCTGGTCTACGTAGTGAGTTCCAGGACAGCTGGAGCTACAGGGAGACCCTGTCTCAAAAAGACTGGGAAAAAAAAAGATTAAAAAATTTTTTATTGTTTTTTAAAATATTTCTTACCTACATACAGGAAATACACACGCGCATATAATATGCAAGTGTGTATTGCCTGCATGTAAGTAAGTGTACCCATGTCATGCAATGCCCTTGGAAGACAGAAGAGGCTGTCGGATCCTCTGGAACTGGAATTACAGTTGTTAGCTGCCATGTGGGTGCTGGGATTCAAACCTGGGTCTTCTGCAAGAACAGCCAGTGTTCTTAACTGCTGAGCCATCTCTCCAGCCCCAAAATATATATATATTTTTTTGAGATACAGTCTCCTTTTGAAGCCCTTGGTAGCCTGGGATTCACTATGTAGACCAGATCGCCCTTGAACTTGTGATCGTCTTCCTTCTGCCTCCTGAGTCCTGGGATTACAGGCATGCATCATCCTACCTAGCTTGAACTTTCAGTTTCATGGAAAATTTTTGTTTTTTGTTTTGAGACAAAATCTTACTATGTAGCTCACACTGTCCTCAAACTTGTGATTCACCTTCTTCTGCCTCCCAAATTCTGATATTACAGGTTTGTACCACCACACTTGGCTTTTTCATGGGCAATTTTTTATAACATTTAAAAATTTTTTATTATTTTTATTTTGTGTGTATGAGTGTATTGCCTGCATGTACGTGAGTGCACCTGTGTTGTGCAGTTCCGCGGAGGTCAGAAGAGAGCTTCGTATTCCCCTGGAACTGGAGTTAAGGATGGTTTGTGGGTTCTAGGAATCGAACCCGGGTCCTCTGCAAGAGCAGTCAGTGCGCTTAACCGCTGAGCCATCTCTCCAGCCCCAATGGGCAAGTTTTTAAAAGGTTTATTTAGTTTATGTGTGCGTACCCGAGTGTCTGTATGTACACCATGTGTGTGCAGCTGTGAGCCATCATGTGGGTGCTTGGGAACTGAACCCAGGTTCTCTGGAAGAGTAGCAAGTGCTCTTAACTGTTGAGCCATCTCTCCCACCCTGGGAAGTTTCTAAAAATTTTAATTATTATTATTGTGTATGGTCATGATATGTGTGAGTGCAAAGATGGATGTGCCACAATGCACATGTGGAAGTCAGAGGATATTTGAGAATTAGTTCTCTTCCACTCTGAGTTCCAGGGATCAAACTCAGGTTATCAGGCTTGCATTGCAAGCACTTTTACACACTAAGCCATCTTGTTGGTCCATTGTAGGAAATTTTTGTTGATGGAAAGTAGATGTTCAGATTTCCATTGGACTGAGGATTGAATAGATAGTAACTAAAAATTGTACTCACCTTGCAGTGCTAAGCGGCCCAGAAATCAATTTAATCATATATCGTCATAGTGAAATGAGTCTGACCACATTTAAAAAAATAGAGATTAGTTTTTAATTGACCAGAGTTGGGGGATAGCCCAGTAGTAGAGTACCTACTTTACATTCCAAAGATGTTGGATTTGATCCCTAACATTGGAAAAACAAAAAGAGCAGCCAGTCATGGTAGCACATGCCTTTGATCCCAGCACTCCAAAGGAAGAAGCAGGTGGATCTCTGAGTTTCAAGTCCAGTCCATCTAGGGGTACATACTGAGATTTGTCACAAAAATAAAGGCAAAAGAAATACAAAACATAATTCAGGCATGGTGGTACACACCTTTAATCCCAGCACTGCAGAGGCAGGTGTACCTCTGTGAGATCCAGGCCAGCCTGGTCTGCATAGCCAGTTTCAGGTCAGCTGGGGCTACAGGAAGACCCTATCTCAAAACAAGTAAACAACCAAAAACCAAAACATAGTCTTGATAAATTTTAACTATTTCATACTTTCAGGAGATAGCCATAGCTTCTCTTTTTTTTTAAATTACATTTATTGAGCCTGGAGAGATAGCTCAGCAGTTAAGAGTACTTGCTCTCACAGAGGACCCAGATTTGGTTCCCAGTACCCACATGGCAGCTCACAACCATCTGTAACTTCAGTTCTAGAGGCTCTAACACCCTTTTCTGGCCTCCTGGGGAATTTCATGCATTTAGTGCACTTACCTGCAGGCAAAACACTCATACACATAAAAATACAAATAAAAAATTTTAATCACATTTACTTGCCAGGTGTGGCACACCATTAATCCCAGCATCTGGGAGGCAGAGCCAGGCAGATCTCTGTGAGATGGAAGTCAGCCTGGTCTACATAGCAAATTTCCAGACCAGCTAGGTCTACAGGGAGACCCTGTCTCAAAAAAAATATTACACTGGGGCGGGAGGGATGGCTCAGTGGTTAAGAACACTGGTTGTTCTTGCAGAAGACCTGGGTTTGAAAGCCAGCACCCACATGGCAGCTAACAACTGTCCGTAAGTCCCAGGGGATCCAACAGCCTCTTCTGACCTCTGTGGGCATTGCACGACAGGGTGCACTTACCTACATGTGGGCAATACACACAAACACATAAAATAAAAATAGTAAACAAATTTTTAAAAAAAGTTACATTTACTTCTTTATTATGTGTGTGTGCACACCGAAGTGGAAGTCAGAGGACAACTTGTGGCAGTCAATTATATCCTTCCATCATGTGGGACCAAGGATTTAACTCAGGTTTTAGGTTTGATGGCAAGTGCCTTTACCCACCGAGCCATTTCATTGGCCTGATCCATAGCTTTTAATGAACATAAATTATTCTCTCTTTCTCTCCCTCTCACTCTCTCTCCTGCTCAGTCTCTCTCTCTCTCTCTCTCTCTCTCTCTCTCTCTCTCTGTGTGTGTGTGTGTAGGACAGCTTATCTCAGAATCTCTGGATTATCCAGCAAAAATTGTGATCTGTTTTTAATAGAAGCAGATTGAGATAGACATAAACTATGCTAGACAGCAAGACACTGCCTTACATTCTGGATATTATTTTATTTTTTAAATTTGTTTTCTTTTGGTCTTTTTGAGACAGTGTCTCCCTGTAGCTTCAGCTGGCCTTGAACTCGATATGTAGACCACGCTGGCCTTGAACTCCCAGAGATCTGCCTGCCTCTGCCTCCCAAGTGCTGAGATTAAAGGCGTGTGCCACAGCACCACAGGGCCACCACACCCAGTTTGTTTTGTTTTTTGAGACAAAATCTATATAACTCAGGTTGATCTTGAACTCACAATCCTCTCATCTCTTCCTCTCAAGTGCTGCTATACCTGGGTTTTTTGTTTGATATTTAATTCTTATTCACTTATTTTTCTAATGATATTTTTATTTGTGTAATTGATTTGATTGTGTATGTTTATTAGTGTGTGTGTTGTGCCCACAAAGGCTAGAAAAAGGTAACAGAGCCAGAGTTGACATGTGGGTGCTGGGAGTTGAACCCAGGTCCTCTGGAAGAACAGCATGAGCTCTTATCCCTTAAGACACCTCTCCAGTCCCTTATTTAGTTATTTTAAGTGTGTTTTTACCAGCACGTGCACCACACATTCATGTCCATGAAAGGCAGAAGAGGGCATTGGATCCCCTGGAACTGGAGTTATAGCAGATTGTTAGCCACCATGTGGCTGCTGAGAATCAAACCCAGGTCTTCTGCAAGAGCAGCCAGTGCTTTTAACTGCTGAGCCATGTTTCTAGCCCCATGTTTGTTTTTGAGACAGGGTCTCACTATGTAAGCTTGGCAGGCCTGGAATTCACAGTGATCCACCTGCCTCTGCTTCCCAAGAACTGAGATTAAATGCATGTGCCACCACACCTGGCAAAATCAAAGATTTTTTTTTTTGTCTTTTTGAAACAGGGTCTCCCTGTAGCCCCAGCTGTCCTGGAACTCACTATGTAGACCAGGCTGGCCTTGAACTCACAGAGATCCACCTGCCTCTGCCTCCAGAGTGCTGGGATTAAAGATGTGCACCACCACACCCGGCTTAAAAAAATTTTTTTTTTTAAAAAGTGTGCCAGGCAACTGGGCATGGTGGCGCATGCCTTCAATCCCAGCATTCGGAAGGCAGAGGCAGGTGGATCTCTGTGAAATCAAGACCAGCTTGGACTACATAGGAAGTTCCAGGTCAGCTGGGGCTACAGGAAGACTGTCTCAAAACCAAAGCAAGACTTATTGGAAGAGGAGCCATCTCCACTGAAAACAGAATGAGAAGAAAATCAGTTAAATAATGTAAGGGAGAAGGGAAGATGATTTCACTCAGGGAAAAACGAATGCAAACCTGAGAGGTATAAGAAGGCATGGTGTAGTAGGGAAACTGAAAGAAATTTGGGGCTGGGGTACAGGAAATGATTTGATGCAGGCAGGGTCCAGATGCTGGGGTTTAGAAACTCCATTTCGTTTGGGGACTTTGCGCTTAAGGTGACAGAGTGCCTTTTACACAGGATGGTGACTTGATCACATCTGTTTTTGTAAAGACCACTTTGAGCGCTTAGGGGAGGACTCCTTGGAGGGAAGAAAGGAAGGAGTGTGGCATGTTAAATGAGTGGAAATCTGGGCTGGGTGTCATTCATGGACTAGAATGGAAGTGAAGTTAAAGAAAGGACCATGAATTTGAGCAATCCTATGTTTAATAACGTAGAATCCTGAGCTGGGGATCTGGCTCAGTCGGTAGAGCACTTGTCTAGCATACCGGAAGGACACATAAACTTGGTGTGGTGGAGAAATCTGTAATCCCAGCAGTTAGGTGGAGAGGCAGGAGGATCCAAAAGTTCAGTATTAGGCATAGTGAGCCCGCCTTTAATATCAGCGCTTGGGAAGCAGAGGCAGGTACCCAACTCTGTGAGTTCGAGGCCAGCTTTGTCTATATAGTTAGTTCAGGCTAGCTACGGGGAGACGCTATTTCAAAAAAATTTTAAAGTTCAGGGTCATCCTCAACTACATACTAGTTTGAGGCCAGACTGGGCTACAGACCTCCATCTAAAACAAATAGGTTCAAGGTCATCCTCCGCCACAGCTACGTGGGCAACTCCAGGCCAGTCCCTGGGATGCCCTGAACCCCATTTAAGACATGAACTCCGTCTTCAAAGGAGGAATCAGGAGTCTAACCTGAAAGAGTAGAATGACAATGTTGTTCACTGAGCATGAAAACCAAGCAGGGACTTGTGGGAAAAGATCAGGGCCCCAAAAGCCAGTATTTATGAGAGAAGACCAAGAGAATCAAGGATGGAGATGGGGCCCTCATTTTAGATCCACCAGGGTCCAGCGCTGGGCAGCCAGTCTTCCTACATGGTGCAGTCCACACCTCCAGCGAACGAAAGCACAGAGACCGGGAAGAAGACCGCACCGCCCAATCCCGGCGCAGGCCCACAGCATGCTTCGTGCGGATTCTGCGCAGTGGAGGGCGTTTGGCCTCAGGATTTCCCGCCCGCGCAGCGCCCGCAGCCCAGCTTCGCGCGCCTGCGCTGTCATTTTCCAACATCCGGTCGTCCCTCACTATCCGCTCCCCCGCCCCCCGGCGCCCACGCCCACCCCCC